TGAAAACTTCTATCCATAAACCAACGGGCGGGCAGACTCGAAGACATTGACGGATTGACATTGAATTATAAGTGATTACAGTAACTAATGGAACGCAATAAGAGAGAGGAATGAAGGATGATATTGAGGAAGGCCTTGGCCCACATTTGGCTGTCGAGACAAACAAAATGGGAAGGTTCGAAATTCATTTGACGCCTATTTCTGATAACTTCATTTAGAAAGTATTTTGAAACTAGTATTGCGTTAATTTTTTTTTTATCTCCATTGCTTGTGTTCATTGATGAGTTTCTATACTATACGTAAGATTAATCAACATCATGTTAGCAGATTAGTGTAAACGTATCCGTCCTATGTACTGTAAATTGTAAAAAAAATGTTTAAAATTAGTTATGAAACTTAGGTTTGTTTAAATGCTGGATATGAAACTCTGTAGAATATTGAATTGGAATTTCGTAAGCTCAAATATTTATGAAACTCTAGATATCTTATATGATACTGATTGGAATTTAGATGGGTTCAAATGCTTGTGAAACTCGAGTTTAGATATATTCAATGCTAGATATGAGACTCAGTTGAGTTTAGATATATTCAATGCTAGATATGAGACTCAGTTGAGTTTAGATATATTCAATGCTAGATATGAGACTCAGTTGAGTCTAGATATATTCAATGCTAAATATGGAAAAACTCAATGGAATTTAGATATGAAACTCCGTGGAGTTTAGATAGATTAAAATGCTAGATATGAAACAAAGGGGTGTTTAGATACATTCAATATAACTCCGTGCAGTTTAGATAGATTCAAATGCTAGATATGAAACACAGTGGTTTGGTTTGTCTCTCTACGGCCATCTTGTGCACAAGTTAGGTTAAAACAGACCGGGACCTACTGTTTAAAGTGGATGCCGAACCACTACAAACATCCATGGCACCGCCGGGACTCGAACCCGAAACCTGGGGTACCCAGCGCCAGAGCGCTAGCCACTCGGCCATGAGGCCCCTGAAACTCGGTGAAGTTTAAATATATTTAATGTGGAGTTTAAATATACATGTTGTATACGAAACTCAGTAGAGTTTAGGTATATATGCTAGATATGAAACTCGGTGGAGTTTAGATATATTCAATGGCAAATACGCAATTTTGTGGAGTTTAGATATATATGATAGATATGGAACTCAATGGAGTTTTAATTATTCAATGCTAAATATGAAATTCAGTTGAGTTTAGATATATATATACTATATACGAAACTCAGTGAAGTTTAGGTAGATTCAAATGCAAGATGTGAAACTCAATGGAGTTTCGATTTATTTAGATGCTAAACTTGATGCTAACTGCACTTGTATCGAATGTTCAAATATTAGACAGTGCATGTCATGAAATACATTAGCCTAAATAATTGAATAATATTTTTAAATTTAATAATCTGGTCTACTATAAAATATCAGCGATAAATGACACGGCATTTCTGGTTTGATATTGATCATTATTTAATTTCCAGGCCATTTAAAATATCAACCACGTTACCAGAAACCGCTATAGTCTATTGGTTATTTTTCGAAACTCAATAACCGGATATAAAAATAATTTTAATTGAATAAAATAAAGAATACTTAAAAGTATGTCTCTAAAGAGGTTATAAGGCAATAATTATCAACAGATTAATGAAACTATCGCCTATCGCATTCAAAAAGTTGTTTACCAAAGTGTTGGACACCATTTTTCTTCGTTTTGCAAATGTTGCCATTTCACTACTTCCGTTCAATTTTTTGTGTTTTTTCTGGAGGGAAAAATACTTGAAGAAGCAGATGTAATAAATAAAATGATTTTTGCATACGCTAATTGAGCAAAGTAGGCCACAGAAGGAGCGACCTTTGATAAATTACCGAATAACATGGAGTCAACTTCCGCAGTCATGTGCAACCGACGTGCTGCGTTTTACTCTGCTCGGACTCAGCAGCCATTTGTTATTTAACCTCTTTTTTTTTAAATAAATTAAGGATTTCAGTTTATTTACGACGTCCTATCTCGACCAAAAAAAGATTTATCGTGTCATGTAAAATCACTCAGTGATCATTATGAGTGAGAACGAATTTCTCCATCTCAACCATAAGATGTTTTTTTTTTTAAATTTTTTTTTCAGGGAATATCAAAGAAGCACGTGTTTCGCTTAACATGTGCCTTGAACTGCTCTCCGATTGATAATCAAATTGCCTTCCAAAACGACTTTTAGGGAAAAATGTCCTACATTGGCGTGTCGACTGGGAAAAAAACTATGTTAACACTCACCACCAATATGACTATCGACGCTGTCATAATTTCTATCAAGTCTCCTCTTTTCTAGAAGCAGTGATTTCAGCGGATTTGAACCACTTGCACGAGTGAAACACACGTTCCCACTACATAAGAGAGTTGTAACCGATATATAAATACCGATTATTACACGATACCGACAGATAAATTTATTATATTATACCGATAGATAAATTTTGTGGTAACAGAAATAGCTGACACTTATTGGGAGTTTGCAATGTAATTTTTAAGAGCTTATATTGGAACACCGGTAGTTATCTCCATATACACAAATTTTGTTGCACATTCGGCATTATACCTGTACTATGGGTATACTATATTCTATATTGCCCATTTTGCCACCAAAAAGATGGCTCTGAAAGATTTGCTTCTTCTCCCTCTACCCTAACTGAAAATCTTTCCGGCTTACATAGCTGTTACAATGCAAAGCATATTATAAATTACCGAATAACATGGAGGCACTTCCGCAGTCAATGTGCAACCGGCGTGCTGCGTTTTACTCTTAGCATCAGCCGCCATTTGTTATTTAACCTCCTTTTTTGTATTAAATTAAAGACTTGGGTTTATTTACGACGTCCTATCTCGAACAAAAATTATTTATCGTGTCGTCCAATTTGCTCATTATGAGTGAGGCCGTTTTTGTCCATCACATCCATAAGATTTTTTTTTTTTTTTTTTTTTAGCGAATATCAAAGGAGCACATTACGTATGCCTTGAACATTACGTATTTCACTTACGTATGCCTTGAACTGCTCTCCGACGGGTGATGAAATTGCCTTCCAAAAGGACTTTTAGGGAAAAATGTGCTACATTGGCGTGTCGAATGGGAAAAAAACTCGGTTAAACTCTCACCAGCAATCTGGCTATCGATACAAGACGCTGTCGTGAATAATGAATATGAAAGGAGCACGTGTTTCATTTAGCATGTGCCTTGAATTACTCTCTGACGAGTAAGGAGATTACCTTCCAAGAGAAATTTCAGGGGGAAATGTCCCATAATTACGTGTTGTATGGGGAAAAACCCGGATAAATTCCTCTAGCAATCTGACTGCCGATACGAGACGCTGTCGTGAATATCAAAGGAGTACGTGTTTCACTTAAGTATGCCTTGGGGAAAAACCAGGATAACTCTCACCAGCAATCTGACGATCCATTCGAGACGCTGTCGTGAACAGTGAATATCACTTATGTCTTCCAAGAGTCCCATAATTGTGTGTCGTACGGGGAAAATTCCGGATAGCTCTCACCAGCAATCTGGTTATTGATACACACGCTGTCACAATTTCCGTCGAGTCTCAATTTTGTTTAGAAGTGGTAACTGCGACGAACGCCATCAGCGGATTAGAACCTCCTGCACTCTAGATGCACACGTTTCCACTACGTATTGTTTGTTTATTTGGTTTGTCACTCTACGGTCATTTTGTGCACATTTTGGGCTATTTAGATCGATACCTGCAGTTTAATGTAGATTCCGAACCACTCACAAACATCCCTGCCACCGCCGGGATTCGAACTTGAAGCCTGTGGTACTAAATGCCAGAACGCTACTATTGGAAAATCAGGCCGCTCGTTCTCACAACATAAGAAAGTTGTAAATATTACCGATAGATTAGTTTACTAAGTAAATTTTCTGCTAACAGAAACAGCATTTACACAACATTTATTCGGAATTCACAACGTAGTTTTTTAAGAGTTATAGATATAAAAACAGTTTTGTAGCAGATTCAGCATTAATTAGTGTGTACCATGAGTAAACTTTCTATATTGCACATTTTACCACTGAAAATGTGGCATCCCATATATTCGCAATCTTCCCCCTGTACCTTAACTGAAAAACTTTCTGGCTTACGTATTTAGTATATTTATTTATAGCATAGGCATGGGAAATTTTCATTTTGGCTATGCTTAGTATTAGGTTTCGAACTTAGACACGACTGGGACGTTATAGTGTAACGCATATTGTTCCCCCAAGATGTTTTTGTGGAATTTTCACGTTCCTTCTCAAGAGCAACGAAAGTACATTACGCCCTATAGATTTATAGCGTCTCAACGCGTTATACAACGATTGTTACGCATTATCCGCACTGTTGGTCTTACGTCGTACGGTTAAACAACGTACCGGATAAAAAAAAATCAATATTAAAAATTGAAATTCTAAAAATTATAATTTTTACGTTTTAACTAAACTGACAAATCTTTAGACAGATAACATACTTTAGGTTTTGTAACAAATAGACAGATAAAACTTTTGCTTTATAAATTCTGAGATGCAATCACAGATAATAATTCGCGAAAACAATTCGCGATTGATCATTCACGTTTTACATAAAATAAGTTCATGTCTATAAAAACGTCTTATATGTGAATGTCAAAGGACCACGTGTTCCACTTGCATTTGCTTGAACGACTCACTGACGGGAGATGAAATTGCCTTCCAAGAAAACTTTTAGGATGAAATGTACTGCGTCCTATTTATGTATCGTTTGGGAAATAAACCAAGATAACTTCCGCCAAGCAGTCTTTTCTCCATACTTAACCCTATTGGTATGTAACCTCCTTTCAGTTAGAAAAGTGAGAGTGGAATGCCAGTGGGCCTCGTGTTTGCCCACCGATGCGTGTTGAGGGAAGGACAGTGCCTTTCAAGAGTTTGGGTTTTGTTTGGTTTGTTGCTCTACGGTCATCTTGCCGACGGCCGTACCATGCTGAATATACCGGTTCTCGTTAGATGAAAGAAGTCAAGCATCATTGGGCGCGGTCAGTACTTGAGTGGGAACACCGCATGCCGTTGGCATTCACAAATTTGGGACCTGAATGGACGAGTGTCTAGAGCTCTGGCGCTCGGTGTCACAGGTTTCGGGTTCGAATCCCGGCGGTGCCATGGATGTTTGTAGTGGTTCGGAATCCACTTTAAGCCGTAGGTCCTGGTGTCCTATGACTGTAAGAGCGTCACGGAGCCAAAGTCAGACTTCTACCTACGGGTGCTCCATCACAACAGAAGCTGCTTCCTTCCCCTTCAATCATGAATACGTATGGGCTCGTGGGCTTGGCCAGCCAAGTGGGATAAGAAACAACAACAAACAGAAACGGTCATCTTGTGCACAATTTAGTCTAAATAGACCGGGAGCTACAGTTTAACGTGGATTCCGAATTACCAACAAACATCCATGTCACGGATAGGATTCGAACCTGAAGCCTTTGGTACCAAAGGCCAGAGAGCTAGCCAATTGATCATCAGGTCGCCTGCCCTCCGAGATAAATTTTGAAGGTCACGGGCCTTCCTTTGCTTATCGTAAGTGAGAAAACTCGGAAAACTGCCACCAGACATGCGAGGTGCTTTAAACACCACAACAGCCATCGAGTCTCCTCGTTACTGTAAGTAATGACTACAACAATGCCCGGAAGGATTCGAACCTCGACTCTCCTATTTGCTAGCCACTGCATCACAAGTCTTACTATTGACACGACACGTCACAATTTTCGTCGAGTCTCATCATTTCTAAATGCAACGACTGCAGTGGACGCCACCAGTGGAGTTTGAACCCCCTCCACACTAAATGCGCACTGCCACGAGCCGTGACTAAAAAGCATTAACCACTTTTACAATGACACTAGATTAATTGTTTGCACTGAGTTCAATTTGCGAAGAAGCAAATAGTGCCAAATACACAACATAAGAACACATTGTTTAATTCGCTAGTTTTAGTAACTAATTCTGCTTTCTAAGTGAACCGAATCGTTGAGCGGCGCCAGTGAGATTCGTCTTGGGAGAAGAACGGCTCAACTCACTGTGGAGTTCGCAGCCATAAATAAACATTTTTTGGCGTCGCTCTGGCGAATTGTCTTCCCACCGACTTCCCATTTCAACCGGATTGAAACGGAAACCGAGATGCATGTCAGTGCTTCGTGTGTGAAAAAACGGAAAAAACATTTTTTATCCGTTCCGACCACACACCGGGGTTTGTGTATCGTTTAAAAAATGGACATGGGAAAAAAGGGTTGCTTATTATATTTTGATTTATGTAATCTCACTTGATATAAAAGGACATGATTTTATAAAACAGTGGGTTTTTCACAGTTTATGTATTAGAGATTATTTTATTATTACAGATAATTTCACAGTTTTCCCCAAAAAGGAACACCGGCAAAAGATTGTAATGATTAAATTATTTGTCGGAAGGATTTTCGTGATGGAATATCGCGTATACCTACATTATTAAATGTCACAGTAAATATATCATTATTTTTTATTATTTGCTGAACATCGATGGGCCTCTTACTTCATTTATGTATACCACGATCAACCCATTCAAAAGGTTATTGGGGAGGACATTACGTTTTTGGAGACTTTTAGGGAAAACTACCTCGCATTTGCGTGTCACACGGGAGGAAAAGCTCAGGAAATTCTCACCAGGCAGACTATTACTACTACTACTATTACTATACCACACCACACCACCTCACAGTGCCTAGAGCGAATTGAACCTATACAGTTTGGGAACGATGTGGGTGAGAAGTCTGATTGGGCTCCGTGACGTTCTACAGTCATAGGAGATCGGTACCTACGGCATAAACTGGATTCCGATCCACTGCAAACATCCATGGCACAGCCGGGACTCGAACCTGAAACCTGCTACACCAAGCGCTAGACACTCGGTCATTCTGGCCCCTCACCAAGCAATTTGGCTGTCGATGCGATAGTCTTTACACGCCTTGCATTCTCCATCGAGTTTCCTCGTTTCTGAAATCAGCGGTTGCAACGAGCGCAGACAATGAAAATGAACTTGAGCTACGCATGTTACGATATCTCTACGAGTTGGATACTAAATACCATTTTGTATTATATTGGCACAATTAATATAAAAAGTTATAGATTGTTATATAACACAGTGGGTTTTTTAACCTGTTCACTGTTACATATTACTACTCTACATAAGGAACATTTTAGCTGTGCTCCTGAATAAGTTTTCATAGCTAAATGTCACTTTTAGCTTCATTATTAAAAGTAACTTGTAGCCTCATCATTAAACGTCACAGATAGCTCCATCATTAAATATCGCTTGTAACTTTGTTATGAACGTTGATGGTAGCCTTATCATTAAACGTAGAATTATTAAATTTTTCATATTAACTTTGATTTTTATTGAAATTAATTTACATTAGATAGACATAAATGCTAAGGTTTTTATTTATTTATATGGTTAAGACTTTATTAAGGCTTTTCTTAAGAGGTTTATTAAGGTTTTATTTAATCTTTATTTACTTATTTGCCCATAATTTTGGTAGCCAACCCTCAAAAGTGGCATTTAGCATCTTCTTCCCACCTTTTTCGAACAAAATAGAACGAAAGAGAACTCCTATTCAAATCATCTGACAGGGTACGTTTCAGTCCACATCTCAAGTTACTGTTATCCACCATCTGGGCAATAAAAACCGAGTCTCTTTTACGTCGGGCGATCACATTAATCAGCCAATCAAAACCTTTCATATATTTTCCCCCCTTTCCAGAATCACATGTCTCCTCGTTCTGATAAGGAAGAGCAAAGATAACCTCCTCAACAGAAACAGCACGTGCTTCAACTTCTCGTTTGGAGAGTTCTTGTCAAGTGTTTTGAAAAACAACCCGAGACATTCGGCATTCCCTGCTCAATCGAACGCAGTTTGACCCCTCCACAAACCTAATTCTTTTACGCAATCCATACGCGAGTTCCAATCTAGGAAGACAGACGATTGAATGTAAATTTCGTTGCATTATTAACAACGGCCCTTCGAGAAGTCGTGGCATTTGAGGACTTGAGCAACGTATATTTATTGTTACAGCTTTCTAGAGAGAAAAAAATCACGTTTTTTTGTTTTTTGTGTGTGTGTGCTGGTATGATTTCCATAAACATTTATTCCAATAACATCGTGACCAAATGCAAAAAAAAATTTTTTTTTTCTTTTTTTCTTTTTTTATTAGGTCCGAATAGCACTAAGTATCTGAACATTCAAATACAAAAAAAAAAAAAAAAAAAAAAAAAAAAAAAAAAAAAAATCGAATTATTCGAATAACAAAAAAGATTCGAATTATTCGAATGACAAAAAAATTCGATTTATTCGAATAATAAAAAAGATTCGAATTATTCGAATGACAAAAAAAAGATTCGAATCATTCGAAGTACAAAAAAAGATTCGAATTATTCGAATGCCAAAAAAGATTCGAATTTGTGGGGATTCGAAAGTTTTTGTGGTTCCGTTTATGAATGCCACCAATAATCCACAGAGAGTTAATGAATCTTTTAAGGGTAACTGCTTCGTATTTTCGTATTTTTCAGAAATCTGACTACTTACACATAGTGTCACAATCCGCCATCGTGTCAATTCGTTTCTGAAAGCAGTAACTGGGATTCGAACTGTGCCTCTCCTGCACGCTAGTTTGGTATATACTCTCTGGAGTATGAGTCAAGCTTTTGATATTTTGATGGCACAAATTAGCCTAAATAAGCCCGACTCGTGGCTTAGTGGCAACGTGCTCCGCTGGTGAGCATTAAGTCTGGTTGGTTTGTCGTTCTACGGTCGTGCACACGAAGGCTAAACAGACCGGTAACTACACTTTTAAGTAGATTCCGAACCACTCACAAACATCCATGCCACAGCCAGGACTCGAAACTGAAACCTGGGATACCAAAGGCCAGAGCGTGGCCACCAGGCCACTAGAGCATTAAGGGTGAGGTTCCATCAGCTGGCGGCTTGGTTGTAGACTGTTTCAAAAAAAGAGGAGATTCGATGGCGTTTGTGACGTGCAGCATCTTGCCTCGTGAGTCGGACTACCTGTTGGGAGTTTTCCAGATTTTTCTCCCATACGATACGCAAATGCGAAGTAGTTCCCCCTAAAAGTCCTCTAGGAAGGCAAAATCCTCCTTCTTCAATGACTCTGAGCCAAGTTATACTTCTACCTACGGGTATCTGCCCCCTTTCCTCCCATCCATGAGAAAATTAGTCATGGGATGTCCCTCTGCAGGACACGGAGGATCAGATGCAATAACGCCGTTAATTGGTATTCAAACCACATCCCTCCTGCCAGCCAGTTGGGCATATAATCACTAGGGTAGGAGTCAAGCTCTTCATACATTGCTAGAACAAATTAGAACTAAATAAAATAATCAAAGTTATTGTGAAATTAAATAATTAAAGATTTAGAGGGAACGTTAATATTCTGTATTGTTAAATGATTGGAAATTAAAACATTAGCCTCTTTTTAGTGAGGTTTTTAATTAGGTTATTTTTAAGGGAAATTATATAGATCAGTTTGTAAGTGATCTAAATTAAAAGTTTTTATTTTTATTTATTTTTTTTAAATTGTATTTATTTATTTTATTTAATTTTATATTTAATTTATTTATTTATTCATTTATTTCAGAAATTAAAAATGCATCCAAATTAAAAGAATACTTTAAGTTATCAAAGATTTTTTTGTTACATTATTATTTCTACGACTGGAACGGTTACAGAAATAAAAATTTCTTACCAAAATGTCGAACAAAATTAAAACAGATGTTGCTTTACAGAAAAATCAATTTTGATATTTACACTCAAACGATGAATTAAAAAGATTTTTTTTTTTTTTTTTAATTTTTGGTAGAGGATACTTTTTATTTATTTATTTTTTTGCGGTGGCGTAGTTAGCAATTAACAATTATTGCTTTGTCTTTTTTAATTTTTTTCCAAAATACCCACACATACACGTGCGGTGATATTAAAACAACTGTTCGAAAATCGTAAATAAGTGAATATAA